CTAATCCACTGGCCCAGACGTGGAGCCAGCACCAAGTAGACAGATGCCCTGGTAGGGGGGTGAGCACATTGATAGGGAACTGCAGCGCAAAACCTGGGTTACAGGGGCTTACACAGGATTTTTGTCGGTATGAAACCATTATCACCAAAGGGACCGTGAGACCAGTTAGATTGCCAGACAAAGAGTGCTCGCAAGTAAGTGTGTCTGGGTGATCAGGTCCCAAGCTGTGGCAAGGCCTTGCATGCAAGGCAAGATGCCAGCAGAAGCCCGTCATGTTGATTGGGCAAATAAGTAGATGACGACTCAGCTAGGTGGGGGCTTCCCCACCAATTGCCCGCGTCACAAAAGCCACTCCGTGGCCATAGTTTGTTAAACTAACGAGTATTTTACACCCCTAACACTTGACTCATTTGAAAACGATGATGAGTGCCAAGACAAAACCCGGTTCACGAAGCAAGCCTTACGCGATATATTGTCAGTAATTCCAGAGTACGATTACGTTCGAGTATACTACTTCTTTCCATGCTACTACAAATTTTTGTTGGAAGAGCTATTCATTTATATGCTCCGAAAGATGTCAACCGAAAGAACCCATAAAGACATGGCGGACCAAGAATTTGGTGGCTGCTCAAAACGATGGGGAACAGGCTACAACTGGCTGGTTTGGCGTTTGGATCGGTACTTTGCTCCCATCATTGGACCGGCTGCTCTTGATAGATGGGTAGATGATTTTCCCACCTTTGCTGAAGTCATTCGAAGCTACATGGTTCGGGACAAAGAGAGATGTGACCAGCCAATTCTCAAGAGGGTGCTCCTCGACGGTCTGGTTGGTACATCAAGCAGAGAGCATTTTATGATGGCTATCATCGAGGTATGGAAGCTTGCGTAAAAATTCTAACAATTTGCCTCCGAATGGATTGACAGGAGCAGTTTATGGCCCAATGTCTGGCAAAGAAAGTGACAGAGAATTGTTTCGACTCAGCCAATTGGATGATCACTTGCGTGACTTATGCACAAATCATCATGGGGGTGATCTATATTGTACTTATGGCGATGGCATATTTGCTGGCCGTTGGTTCTGCCTACGAACTCGGCATGAACCAACTCGAAACTTGCCATTGAATCCCCAGCAGGAGGAACAAAATGAAAACATGAAGTCAGTCCGAGAATCGATTGAGTGGAGCTACGGTTATGCTGAGAAACAATGGCCTTTGTTGAACAAGAAGGATGGCAAGATGATTGAGCTGGATCCAGACAGAGTCTTTGCCGAGATTCGAGTTATGTATTTGCTTACTAATTTCAAAGTGTGTCACGCTGAAGGCAGTACCATGACCGGTCAATGAGGATTCAGGTGCCCACCTCCTACGCTTCAAGAGTATCTCAATAAACTTTGAAACTATTATTTACTAATTACTAATAATTAGATTAAATATTTGTCACCAGTTGCTTGCTAGGCCTGTTCATACAAAGATAGAAGCTCCTTGCGAACCTTACCAAATTCCAACATCGTTTCCTTATACTCATTCTCAAAACCTGTTGCATCCGGGTAGAAGGCTGCATCCTCCATCAATGACTTCTTCTTTTTTTCTAGAAGGGCAATGCGCTTCTCCCGTGGACTATTGCTGGTGATATCACTAGGTTCAGAAGTCCCACCGGTGCTGCCAGGAGTAGTTTTGGCCGCCTTGCTCCCAAGAAACTCAGTAGCAATGGATTGAAACGTATTTCCAAGGTTTTCTAAGGTCTGCATTGCATTGTCGTTGACTGTTGTAGTGGGGCCTCGAGGACCGCGTTGTTTCTTCTGGTCACTGCCATTGACTGACTCAGATTTTGGCGGACTGAGGTTTCGCTTTGGAGTTGTCATAGTTGCTCCATCGTCACCAATACCACCGGAAAACAAGTCACAAAAATCTGTATTGGCCGTGGTAGCATTGGCATATGCAAACGAGCTTGGATGTCCAAGTGCAAGATTGGTAGAGTGCCCACTCCTGCCGGCTCCAGAATCTCCATTTGCTCCAGGCGGAAGAGCACCAACTCCGCGCTCATAATTTTTCATCTGTTCTTGAAGCAATGCAGCCTTGGCTTTAGCTTTTTCGGTGCTCTCCTTTTCTGTTTTCTTGGCCGTCTCATGCTCTCCAGACTGTTGAACAGCAGCGGTGTAAAGAGATTCACGGACTTTTTCAGGGTTGTCCAAGATGTACTGCCACAATGCAGTGACTTTCTTTTTCATTTGAGTTGCTTGAGTGATTTTGGGGAGACGACGAACAAGTAACTCTCGGCCATCAGCTCCACCTCCATAGCAAACATCGTGAAATCTGGTCCATCCATTCTTCTTCACGTTATCATTGTTGGAAGCCTCGGTGCATTTCGTAGCATCGCATTCATCCACTGCTTGAAAGATTGCAGAGACAAGATCACTCTCAACAGCGACAAGTCGGGATACAGGAGGCCAGCGGGTAAGCTCCTTATTTTTGGTACTGCTGGAACTGGATACAGCAGCAGCATTCTCTTTGCCGTCATCTCCTAGTAATTCTACAACTGGTGGCTGTGCCATGGCAATCTCTTCCACAATGACTAGTTGGATAATGATTTTATTTGAGCACAGTTGTGCTATTGATAAGGATGTGCTGTTGGACTGCATGTGCTGTTGGACTGCATGTGCCTCCGGATCCTTGTCATTGCAGATTTGGCGGGATGAAAGGGATGAAAATGGCGGCATGAAAATGGAGGGAATCTTGCTCAAGGAAGAGCTGTCAGTACTGAAATGCTGTAGAAAGTGCTGTAGAAAAATTAAGGACAGCCTTTCTTCCTTGCTCCGGGAAGGGCTGCACTTCAGCCAAAGGAAGCACCTCAGTCCTTCGTTTTGTAAACTCTTTGAGCGATCCAGTGGAAAACATGTAAATCCGTTGAGTGCTTTCTGTGCCAAGACCATCATCCAGGAAGAGCACCCGCTTGGTCTACCATTCTATTCTGGTAATGGTGCGGTTTGAGGCCTCCAAGACACCCAGCCAGAGAATAGGGGGACCGGGGACCGAGGTGGATAGGGGTTTCGTTAGGGTTAGCCTAATTAACCAAACCTAACCCACGGGCATCTCACATTTTAGTCCTGGCATCTCACATTTTAGTTGTTGTGTTTATCAGTGACAAGGATGCGGGAATGTGTAACTTGCCATGGGGAGGTGAAAACCCTTGCAGCCTCTCAGAAGAGAGAAAAGGGGGACGGAGGTGGTTAAATTTCAGCTATATAATTCATGAATGAATTTAGATAGTTATTTTTTTGCTAATTACCTAAGACTCAACGTGTTACCCTTTTGAAAATACTCTAGAGTACTTCAGAGTACAGTACTAATCGTAGGTGTCTGATTTTACGTTTGACATTTGATGATCGGAAACCGTGATTAAGTCTAAGATTCGAGTGTTTACGGTGTAATCAAGAAGGATTACGTGTGCATCTGTATAAAAACATTCGTGGCGATTGAAGATCAAGGTCAGTCGTGCAAATCCGAGGCGAAGCCGAGGGTGCACGGTTGACCGTGGATTGACAAGGACGAGGAAGGGAGGCTAGATCGAGGCGTGAAAGGAGGACCGAAAGGCCCGGAAGAGCGACGAGATCGCAGCCGACATTCGAGGCCGATAAGAGACACGGACGTCATTTGTATGTAATCTGTCCAATCCATTTCCGAGGAAACAGGATGAAGCAACAGGAAACAGGAGCACCATGGTCGTCCTCTTTACGAGTCTTTACTAGTAGCGCTAGTGCACTAGTAGATAAAGTGACGGTTAGTTTGTTGTGTTTCACACACTTTACCACTGAAACCACGACTGATTAAAAATGCCTGCAGAAACAAACGGAAAATAATTTGAAACCGCTTTTGTACAGAATTGCCTATAGTAGATAAATCTGCTGAAGGAAGGATTCAACGTCTTTCGAGATTGACACTGTAGTTGTTAAGTAGTCTACCATAATCCACGAAAAAGAAGCTTTCCGCCCGCAGAACCTCTTCCCATAATGCTCTCCGATATTTAACTAGTAAAATCTAGTGACATTATTTCCGGTAAGTATGCTACTCGGCCGATAAAGTCGAGAATTTTGAAAAAGGTGATAACTCCTCAGAATGAGCAGTCAGGATTTTTGAATCAGTCTGATGGTTTGGGTTAGGGTGAAAGGAAAATTCTCAACTTGATCTTCAGATTTGTGTAGAAGCTGGTAGGTTTGAGAATTCTCAACTTAATCGGCGGAGTAGTATGGTACTCTTAGTGAAACCCGAGGAAAGGTGCGGACAGATTATAACTACTAGCTATGCTATGATAGTATAATTAGATTTGGAACAACCATCGTGCGCCAGCTCGCTCGTTCGCCACAGCAAACACACAACGAGTCGAGTCATAAGGCCGCTCTCTACCGGAGGGACTAAAGTAGCGACTAAGCCATATTTCATGGTTTAGTCAATAGTTTAGTCTCTTGGGGTGGTGTCTACCCAAGGGACTAAACGTCCAAAGGACTAAAGCCTTTAGTCACAAGGTTGGTTCACCGACTAACGGGAGGCTGGTTAGTCGGTGAGTGAGCGTAACGACTAAAGCCTCTTTAAGAAGAACAGCACTTTTAAAAAAGAACAGCACTTTAAAAAAGAACAGCAGCCTCATTGCACAGCCTCACTATCAGAGCATTGCGACAGAGCTGATAGAGTAGAGGTGCGATCGAACGATCGAAAAACGAAGAGGAGTATCGATCGATGAGGAGTATCGGCCGATAGTAGAGGTGCAAACGATCGAACGATCGAACAATCAAAGAGGAGTATCGGCCGATAGTAGAGGTGCAAACGATCGAACGATCGAAGAGGAGGTGCAAACGATCGAACGATCGAATGACAGTCTTCGGTTGAGAATAGAAAGCCATCCCTCATTGCAGAGTATGGAGTGCGGGATGGCTTTCATTTCTCGGCCTTTGACTGAATGATATCGGTAGTAGAGGTGCAAACGAGTAGAGGTGCAAACGATCGAACAATCGAAGAGGTCGCAATGGTGTGTTTTGAGTCTTGTTATCTCAGTCTTGTTATCTCAAAAAAGTAATCAATTCTATTAAGTCTTTTGTTTGAGTCCTTTAAATCCACCTTGCTGATAGAATATTGGTAGCCCACCAAGCGATCACTTTTGTTAAATCGTTTTTGAGTCCTTTAAGTCCAGCACCGTGCAACGGATTTAGTCGCGGTGTTTGTTTAGTCGCCACGGTAGACACCATGTTTTGACTAAAAACTCCACTAAATTGTTTAGTCCGAGATTTAGTCATCTGCTGGTAGACACCACCATTACTAAAGGATAATGACTAAATCTTGAACTAAACAACCACCTAAAGGATTCCTTTAGTCGCTACGGCAGAGGCGAAGTGAGAATGTAGGCAGTAATCTGATTGGTGGAGGGGTACCGCGGTATTCATTAAAGACACACTTCTGCTTAGCGATAAGACTGCTTTACTGATGTCAGCTTTACATCCCAAGGGAATCTCTAGTCGCCAAGATTTTCAGCGCTATTACGATTGTTGTCTTGTTTTGTGGATTCCCTCCGCAATGACGATAAGTCATCATAAGACAAGTATCGGACAAGCAGAGGACGCAATTGGCAGAGGCAGAGTTGACCATGCAGCAGCAAGAGGAGATGCAGCAGCAAGAGGAGATGAGAGGTTCACAATGCACCAACATGGGCCAACAGAGCCAAAGGAGAGTGTCATTAGAGAAGAGAACTCACAGACTACAACAACAAAATCACGGCAGTAAAAGGAGAAAAGGAGTGAATGGAGATCAGCAGACACTGGACGGCGAAATCGCGTTCGATCCTGTAAAGGACTGTGTGATGTGCAAGGCAAAACATCTGGGACAAAGAGTACCACATCGCAAACACCATCGGCTCTGTTGGAATAACCAACGAACAAAGGGCATTATCTCGGAAGCGACGCTCGAGGCATTGAGAGAAGAGAAGAGATTGAAGAGACACTTCTCTGAACCAATCAAGTACACCGCATCTAATCTGGCCGGTGGAACTTCGTTCTTCGTGCAACGAAGGGCACAACAACAGCGAGGAACTTCCCAGCGGCAATCTTCAACTTCCAATATGGATGCCGAACAACCCAATCAGCCAGACAGTCAGGAATTGGATCTTTGCCACGAGGTTACCAGCAGAGTCAATGATCCATCCTTCCGCGAGCAATACCCGGACAACAAGGCTCCAATGGCGATGCTGGCTTTAGCTGTCGCGGCCGTAAAGAAGATAATCAGGCCCAATGGAGGATCTCTGATTCCAAAGTACTTTGATGGAATGACGCTGACTGTCCCCACAATTCATGGTTGCCGAGATCCACACTATCACAGCATCATGGGACAGAAACTGCTTCTGGTCGACTGGAGCGCATGTTATGGGCTGGAGCCCCAATGCCCGAGATGCCAGTGTGGGATTCTAAAGAATGAAAGAACCAACTTCTCAAAGAATAAGCTTCTTTTCCCCATCTTCAGGCTCGATGGTGCTCCCAGCTGGTGTATGTATCAGTATATGGTTTGTACTAGCTGCAAGGCGAGATACAACTCGAATGAGAGTGCTGTTCTTGCACAATTGCCCTACTACGCGGCTTCTGGATATCCGGTGGACCAAAGATATGCACTCAAGAAGAACTCTCACTTGGAGAAGACTGTTACTGAGACGTTCGACATGATCCTACCTACTTACGGCAATGGAGAACTCTGCAGTCGTCTACTGTATCAAGCAATCAACAAGCATTATCTAGACAAAATCGCGAGTTACTATTCTTATGTCCAACCAACAAAAGTCACCAGTTCGGCTGCAACGACGGTTCTCTACTTGGAGAAGGATGGCGAATTCATGACGATGTTCCCTCCTCTTGGAGACAGTATTCGAAAGCTCTATGATCAAGCATCAATCAATGGCAATACGCCTTGGAAGGTCAGCGACCACAACAGACACAGGAGAGAGATCCAGAGTGTTGCTTGCACATCCATGTTTGCCCAAGACCACACACATGAAGTCATCAAGAACTACTTCCACAAAAAGGAGGTGCGAGCAGAGGCCATGTGGACTGTGTCCAATGAGAGTGGACAAATTGTCAGCGCTGTACTGGTTCCCTCCACCAAGACCATCCACTTCTCACACGCAGCCATGCAACTAGTCAAGAGAGACCACTTCAAGCCACAGGTTATGTACAGTGACACCTGGCCGTGCAAGAACCAGTACTGGTCAAACCTTCTTGGGGCGCAAGTAAAAGGCCGACTTGGATTGTTCCACTTTGTTCAGAGGATCACTCGAACATTGAGGAAGCGTCACATTGACTACTCTCATGCTGTTGGCCGACTCCTCAATGCCATGTACATTTACAATGCATCCGATTATGAGAACCTGCTTCGGGCATTGAAGAACGGCACTCTTAGCAAAGACGGAGAGGAATTAACGGACGAACAGATCGACGAGCTCAAGGACACTTACGTCTTCCGTCAGCGCTACTCGAAGTTTCTCCGAAAGGAGATCCGTCAAGCCGAGTCACTGAGACATCATCTTGAGGCCTGGTTCCACCGCTTCAAATGCACAAAGAGCAGTGATGAGTCAAGACCTGCTCAAGGGCGACTGGATCCCAAGACAGGACAATCGCTTTTCACTGCGGAGACCAAAACCGCATGGCAAAACTGCAAGGACAAAGCACAATACCTGCAGGATCCTCTTCCACTCGACCAAATGTATGAGGTCATCAGACCAAATCCGAACTCGCCACATGGCTTGAACGAATATTTGTCACGGCGAGGAGAGTCCAGCCTCGAAAGCTTTCATTTGTTGCTTGCTCATTTCGCAAACTGTGGCATGTCCAATAGCCTCGCGGACAACTTAAATCTCATTGGGACAGCACGGTACAACCTCGCAATTCGACACAGACTCAGACTTGCTCGCACCACACACAATGACGCTGTTCTTGAGAAGAGAAAGAAGATCCCGGCTGCTTGGGAGACAGTTCTCCCATACTACAACCACTCGCAACTCCAATGGGTTAACCGACTCGCGGTTGCGGCCGGTGCACCAAAACCATTTCCTGATGCTGAAGAGTTGGGAAAAGACACGGGTGAGCTGTTCTTCTCCCAGTACATTCAATGGCAGAACGAGGCTGCACCAACTTACGATGAACAAGAACATTGCTTGTGCGATGTTTGTGAGGTGCACCAACCGTCGCCTCAAATTCAAATCGAAGAAATTCAAATTGACGATGGCGATGAGCCAGCGTCACCCTCGCCAACACCAACGGTAACGGTGGAATCACCTATACGACAAGAAGAAGACCGCCTCGCTCCTCGCCAACAACAGCAACAACAACCGCCACCATGGGTACCTCCAATGCAACAACATCATCTCATGCAAGGGTGGTACGCGATGGCTGCTGCCGCCGCCACTGCTGCCATGTATCGGCCGGTGCAGCATCCGCAACACTGCTGCTACAGGAACAGAGCATGGCAACTGGCAGTGCCGAGGAAAAAAGGAAGGCCGCCGCATGATCGTCATTGTACAGGAGTGAAGTGGTTGCTGTGATATTTGTAGAGTAGAGTAGAGTAGAGAGGATAACAGATAACGAGAACAAAAGTGTGAAAAAGTGGAAGGTTCTTTGTAGAGCTGAGTTCTACCACGACACCATTTAAATCCAGCGAGGTACCAATCAGTACTCTCAAACGACTAGCTTTGTCTTTTAGGTGTCTTTTTGGAGTCGTAGCATGGCCTGCGTGGGGTGAATACAGGGGAAAGAACGTTGTTTGCTTAATGAATGACCTAATGACTGCCTAACGCCCTTTTTTCTTTATGTAAATGTGGTCACATGTGAGTACCGCTTGGTTGCGAGTAAACCGCCACATGAATAGAACCTGGAATCTATCCATAACCCTCCTCTTTTTTCCCTCTTTTTCCCCCCCTTTTCCTCTGCCTAACCCCCCCAAAATCTCAAACGGGTCCCTCCGGTAGAGAGCGGCCTAACAACATCCAGCAGCAGTACCGGTACCGATAACTACAATACGACTTGATGACAGTAACACTACAGACGACTAATAGCCGTACCGAAACGAGCATTTGGACGCACTGCACGAAGCACCCATGGCACTTCCACCACCGCCTTTCACATGCCATCAACTCGTGTAGCCCATGGTCTAGCGAGGAGGAATGGCAATGGCATGGCGATGAACAGGAATGGCAATAGGACGGCGATGAACACGCAAAACGGGCATATGCAGAACGGGCACACGCAGAATGGGGCATCGTTGGCAACGGCTACGTCACCACCAGCGGCAGCTACGGATTCCTTGGTTGACAAAGGACTATCGCCATTGGTCGCTGCGGGCAGATCCTGGGTTCAAAAAGAGCTCAATTTCTATGACAACGGTGGTGGTTCTTCATCCTCTTACAATCCACGCAAGGCAGGAAAGGAAAACTCTGTGAAGGTCGTTCATCTCGAGCTCGCAGCTGCGGAGTTTTCCCGTCGTTTCTCCCCGATTTCGCTGGAACAAGACATGGAAGAAGAGGAGGATGAGCAACAAAGGGCTCCAGTTCTTCTTGTCTCAACGCATGTAAAACCAGACTGGACTCCACCAGTTGGTTTTACCTCCAAACCTGGGTTCAGGAACGTGAGATTCCTATTGGTACCAAATGTTGATGGGAAGACTAAGTCACTCTTTATTAGCTGCATGCCAGGAAACACACATGGAGAGGCTGATGGGCATGTAGCTGGTATGGTTCGAGATTGGGTTCATGGCAACCAACTGGACCTTATACTTTACCAAAACCACTCTGGAGGGCGCGACTACCAACCTGACATCAGCCTCCGCCCTGCCACTGCCGATCCAACACCGCCTCCTGGGGCCGCTGATAGCGACCCCAACCATGACAACAAACCATACCGTCGCCTTGTGGTGGAAGTTGAATTTTGCAACAGGAATGCAGAAAAGCTTAGGACAACTGGTTGTGGTGTCTTTGATAACCCTTTCACGTCTCTCTTCCTCGGGATAAAAATTTGGAAGAAAACACAGAATGGGTTTGCAGCTGTTGCCATCTTGTGGGAAAAAGACCCTGTCACTCAGAATATTGCACTGCTCAATGCTGTTGATTTTGGCACCAGAGCGGCGGATAACGGAGTACGAGGGCGCTTCAATGCTCCTCCTGCAGGGCCCATTTTGCTGCCTGGTGTCCCTCCAGCAGCTTGGACACGAGCCTCAATCCCTAATGGGTACACAGTTCCTGTATTCGGATTGCCACCATTGCCTCCCGCAGGGTCTCCTGCCCGTCTTACTCTACCTCGCACTCATTTACTTCATCGAGTCACCTACTTCGGAGCTCCACCACAAAATACATATGTCCTAGGTCCTCCTCTTGCGGCCCCACAACCTGTTGATGACCTACACTTGGACCTACATTTTTATGCCTACAAGCTCGACAATGGTTCGTGGCCCCTAGAACTTTGCATTCGATGCATTCCAGATTAGGATCCGCTCTTCTTTGGAGATTCCATGCCCATCCTCAAAACAATGGCAGACAGCGAAGGGCAGGCTTTACTTACCGCAGGCAGAGTAAAGAAGAGTCCAAATTCAGGGCTTCATAGGTTCCTTGAGATCAGGGGAGATAAATTGATGATCAACACGGGGGCAAAGGGCTCAAAACGGGGATTTTCGGTCGCTTGCTAGCTAGCTGCCATGTACATACATGTATGCTTGCCAGAACGAATGTGATCGAAGGCGCAGATTCTCAGGTTTTTAAAAACAAAATACAGTAGGATCCCTATCCAAGGTAGAGGCTGATCTGCAGCGAATGGGCACATCAGTTTGTGACGTATCTTATCTCACAAGCAACACGCGCTACCCGGCCGGGGATGGATCCCCAGGACTGATATACGCCTGTCTAGTAGAGCACCGGTCAATCCATTTTCCATCTGCCCCAAGATCGTCCTCGGTCATCAAACAGATTCTTGGTCCTGCCAATTGAGATGTGCACCAGGCAGATTGCATCACTGCTCGCGGAAGCCTACACGGTGTCAGCCAGGCGCTGTAGACATAATACCTGCAGCAATAATCACAACATGCATTACTTACGGAGGACTTTTATATGGCTGCTGCATCGCGATAGACTGGGCCGCTCTCCAGAGGTAATGCAGCATGTTTGCCAACGAGTCCGTGAACGTCATCTAATCCCAGAACCCTAGAGTCTACCCCGCCTCCATACACAACATACAGTGGACTACTCAAACAAGCATGCGAAGGGAAACATGATGGTCCACTATGTCACCACCTAAGGAATCGAATCACGTGCGCAAGGCGGAATTGAACCGCTGGGCTTTCACACCCCCACAGGTTTGAAGCCTGCACCCACCACCAGGCAGGATCATGCACACAAAAGGAATGGATGGCCTACCAACAGGCCTACACCAACCATGGAGTAGTGTTGTCCTCGAAAGGAAGCAACAGAGTAAGGTTGTATCCTTCAGGAAAACAACAGGTTGTCCTCGAAAGGAAGCAACAGAGTAAGGTTGTCATCTTAAGAGAAACAACAGTAAGGTTGTCCTTGAAAGGAAGCAACAGAGTAGAGTTGTCCTCGGAAGGAAGCAACAAAAAGGCGCCCCCAAGAGGGAGAACAAAGTGTCTCACCATCCAACCGGGACAAAGAGACTGCAACCCAACAGGGTGCCGTGCGCAAGGCGGAATTGAACCGCTGGGCTTTCACACCCCCACAGGTTTGAAGCCTGCACCCACCACCAGGCAGGATCATGCACACAAATGAGCTGGGCGGCCATCCAATTGGCCACCCCTTGGTAAAGTTGACAATCCAGCAAGATATATATGCGTTTGGAGTAATCCCCGTTGGGTTCGACTGCGGCATTACTTTGCTACGACGGCGACAAGGGAGCACGACCCACCATGGCTCTTACACAACAGAGTGTCGTCGTCGCCCGAGCGGCATCCCAAGCCGGCATCCGTTTCCGGATAGACATCTCTGTCTTTGCGTCCGGGGAATTTCCCCAAGAAGCTCGTCAACATGGTCGACATGCCCTCGGTCTCCAAAGAGACGGAGCGCTCCTCGAAAGCCTTGGCTCAAACGCATCCTGTTGGATTGTGAGACAACAAATTGGTTGGGTGGCGGCAGCTCGAACAAAGCTTGAGAATTCTGCGGAAGATACTTGTCAGAAGTCTTCTTAGTACAAATCTGCCGTACCATGTACTTACGTGAGAAATATACTGAATCCACGCGAGGAAAGATCCGTCTGGCAGTCGCACAGACGGACTCACTTTTCGTGACTGAATCCTTCCACCTGGAAGATTGCGCATCGTCCCTCATTCATGTTGAAGCCACGATGACACCTCGAGCCTCGGCCGCTCCTTTCTTTCGACATCACCTCTTCAGTTTCCTTTGCTCTGAACAAAGATAGACCAATCCATTCCGTCAAATCAAATCAAACAGCACCACCACCACCATGAAGATCTTCCACCTTGCCCTTCTCGCCACTGCCGCTAATGCGTTCGCACCAAACAGCTGCAGAACGACGCAATCCAGTACCACTGCACTGAACCTGTTTGGAGCCAAGAAGGAAGGCGGTGAAAAGGGCCCCGGTCTGATGGATCAAATGGCAATGTTCAAGAAGGCACAAGAAATGGCATCCAAGAAACAAAAGTTGGACGCAGAACTGCAGAAGGAAAACTTTGGGGGAGAGAGTTCCAACGGCAAGGTCAAGTCTAGCCTCAAATTTGTTCCCGTCAAGAACCCAATGGACCCCAACCCTGACTACGAAGCCACCGGGTTTGAGTTTGATGATGAATTCTTTGAATCTGCAACACCAGACGAACTCAGTGCTGCTATTACCGAATCCCTGATGAATGGTATTGCCAAAACCAACCAGGCCGTCGCCGAAAAATATGCTGTTCTGCAAAAAGATCTTGTAGAAGCACTGGGGCAAAAGAAAGAGGAGTAAGCCCTATCTATAGCCAGCTACATATAGTCAACACACACACAAGCCAGAATTAGACACATTCGGTGATCTGTAACTTGATTGCGCAGCGTTCTAGTTGCCTCGAAAGGAGTGCTTTCTACTTTCTACTACTAGTACGGTGGCAGACCTAACCACGCACGTTTCCAGTAGCTAGAGACAGCGCTTTTAGCATCAGATATCAGATACTTTAAAAAAACAATAGATGAACTATTCTTCATACGTGGTGAATATGAAATGTGTTAGTTTCAAGGAAGCTGCAGACTACAGGAATTTGTGGAGCCTTTTCAAATGATCCGCCTACTCCATTCTCGTGTTCCCATTCCACAATCCGCCCCCAGGAGCCTTCCTAGCTACCGCGGCGAACACTGAAAGCTTCCAGCAGAAAGAGCATTAAAGAGAAGGTAGAAGAGCGGAAACAACATTGAAAGCAACTTGTTTTCTGCCTCAAGACACTGCCTTCAATGGATCGGTCTGCAGATTGCGCCGGCTACCGGTAGAGTCCGCAAACATGGCTGAATTGGGGCAGCCATCAACAAGAACCTCTCCAACGTACCACTATCTGACTACATCCCAAGCTAGCAAGAGATGAAGGAGCCAAACAATAGACTACGTACAGTACGGTGTGCAGGTACCAGTATTGAAAGAAACCTACAGCTTTAGTTACTTCACGGCTCTACCGTTTTAAAATAAAATTTAGTCTGGCCTTCTATCCAGCCTCAGTGTTTGCCACCAACCAAACCTCATCCTTGCTCGAGGCTCACATTTTCTTTGGAAAACTGTTCAGCTTTCAACATCGACCATGGGCAACAAGAAGAACAAGAAAAAGGACCTCAAACGCACGGCTGAAAGCCTCGATGCCGAAGGAGTTGATAATGACAAGGCTGAAGAAACTCCCCCGAAAATCGAAGAAACTGCCGAGTTAAACGATGAGGACAGGGCAAAATCCAAAAAGGAAAAGAAGAAGAAAAAGAAGAAAGAGAAAAAGGAAGCCAAACGACGCAAACTTGAGGAGAAAAAGGAAGAAGAAGAGGATTCGCCAGAAGAAAAAAGCAAGAAAGTACAAAAATTTGCCAATGATGGTGACGATGATGATGAAATGCCTCCAATGGACTCGGAAACAGCCCCTGATACCGAAGACCAGGAGAATAATGACGATGAGGAACAAGCCGCCGATGACGACGGAGAAGACAAGGAAACGACAACTAGCACAAACCAGCCTAAGGAAGACGAGGAAAAACCCAACTTTTATGCCGGCAAGGACGACGAGGCGCTCTTCACGTCCATGCCTCTATCAGATAAGACCAAGGCTGGCTTGGAAGCACAGAGTTTCACTCGAATGACACAAATTCAAAGCATGGCCATTCCACCCCTACTAGCAGGCAAAGATCTGATTGGAGCTGCCAAAACTGGAAGTGGCAAAACATTGGCCTTCTTAGTCCCCATCATCGAACTTCTTCACAAGGCCAAATTTGCAACCCGCAATGGAACCGGTGCCATTATCATTGCCCCCACACGGGAATTGGCCATGCAGATTTATGGCGTCTGTCATGAACTTTGCAGTCAAGGCAAACACAGTCAGACACATGGTCTCATTATGGGAGGTGCCAATCGTCGAACCGAAGCAGAACGACTGGCCAAGGGCGTCAACATTGTGGTATGCACTCCAGGGCGCCTCTTGGATCATCTGCAAAACACCAAAGGCTTCCTGTTTCGCAATCTACTGGCCTTGTGCATGGACGAAGCGGATCGAATTCTAGAAGATGGGTTTGAAGACGATCTACGTGCTATTCTAAGGCTATTACCCAAAGAACGACAGACCATGCTCTTTTCCGCCACGCAGACGAAACAGGTAGAAGATTTGGCCCGTCTCTCCATCAATCAAAAGTCCGCCGTCTTTGTCGAAGTTCCAAGTGAAACCAAGTTTGCCACTGTGGCTGGACTCGAACAAGGCTTTGTTACGTGCCCATCCGAAAAGAGGTTCTTATTGCTCTTTACGTTCCTCAAAAAGAACAAAAAAAAGAAAGTCATGGTCTTCTTCTCCTCGTGCAACTCGGTCAAGTTCCACGCCGAGCTACTGAATTACATCGATGTTCCTGTCATGGACATTCACGGTCGTCAAAAGCAAGTCAAACGCACCACAACCTTCTTTCAGTTCTGCAAACAAGATACCGGGATCTTGCTCTGTACTGATGTGGCTGCGCGAGGTCTAGACATCCCAAAGGTGCGGACCTGGTTCCTGAATACAGTGCTTGCACCGGAAGCTGAACCACCATCTTCTCACTTCCTTTCTCTCCGCTTACTTGTTACCACAGGTTGACTGGATTATTCAATTCGATCCACCTGACGACCCCAAGGAGTACATCCATGTAAGTTGGCTTGTTTCTTGGTGGTGCTTTCGCGGTGGATTCCGTTGGGCCTCTGCAACTTGCAACCCACCTGTTTGAGCCTGCCATCTTACCTCGTTCTTGCCTTCCTTCCTTTCCGACAGCGTGTTGGTCGTACTGCTCGAGGTGCCAAGGGATCGGGACGTGCGCTACTATTCTTGACACCGGAAGAAACGGGCTTTTTGCGCTACCTCAAAGCGGCCAAGGTGACGCTGAACGAGTACGAATTCCCGACGCACAAGGTGGCCAACGTCCAGAGTCAATTGCAGCGACTGATTGAAAAGAATTACTACTTGAACCGTACCGCCCGAGATGCCTATCGAAGCTACATTTTGGCCTACGCGAGTCATTCGCACCGCGATATCTTCAATGTGCACAATTTGGATCTTCAGGGCGTGGGCGTGTCGTTTGGATTTACATCTCCGCCTCGTGTCGACATTGCATTGAGTGTCAAAGGAGAAGCCGGAGCGAGACGGAAGCAATACGGAAAGGGAAACAATGCCAAAAAGATGGGCACATCGTCTGGTCATGGTTTCAGTTCTTCCAATCCGTATGGGCAACGTGCCAAGAGCGACAAGCGCCAGTTTTCTTACTAAACCAGTAACTGTAGTAGGAACTATTCGCATCAGAAGTTCTGCATTTCCTGACATTTACTGTCACGAATATCCATCTGTCATAGGCAAATATGGCGCTTTGTTGAATCAATCCAAATGTGATCAAACCACACGGTTTCCCGGCTTTTTCTTTAGGTAGAAGACTTCTACATGATATATTTCAATTTCATATTTGTGCTTATTTTTTATTGTTGTTGTTGTTATTGTTATTATTTCGCGAGGCTCGAGCATGTGCTACCTTCAAATATTGGGCATGTAGCAAATCAATAAACCGTTCATCTTGAATGAGCGAGAGGAGTGCCAATTGCAAGCTTTTCTTGTCGAGTGCAACTCCCGGTATGCTCCTTGTCGGAGTGGTACTTCCCGACGTATCCGATCCTGCCGCAGCGCTGTCAGAATTAGCAGGCGCGGGGGGAGCCACAAAGAGACTGTTCATCAAGGGTTCAATGAGCTGTGACGGCGAATCCACGCTGGCATGGCTCCGAGGAGCAGTAGTGGTTGTTGCCATGGGAGACACGGCAGCTGGTCTCCCCGCTGTAACTGCCATTCCCGGAGGGGCAGCTGCTGGTTGTTGTTGTTGTTGTGGTGGTGGTGGCTGCTGCTGCGGTGGTGGTGGCCTCGGAGGTGTCATGGGAGGAGCCGCCATGGCTCGCTGCTGTAGATTCTGAATGACTTGATTCAAAAGGGACGCCATGACGACCCGTTCGTTGCCATTATGGAACCAAATCCCTAGAACTTTGGGTGACTGTTTGAAGATCAAGTAGGGTTCCTTGTGCTGCAATTGGAATCGTTCCGTAATGGCAACTTTGAAATTCTCGGTGGAATGCCGATTCAAAATGGCCAGTGAATAGGATGGCTGCTGTTGCTGTTGTTGTTGCGATGCCACCAAGAAGAGGGATCCTTCCACTTGAGATTTTTCCCATCCTTGGGGAGCAATGTATTCGTACAAGACCACATGAGTGGCACTCCCCACAATGTCTTGAATGTTGGCATCGATGGATCGTTGCAGCAACCGAAGGTTGGCCTTCTTGCGAGCGTCTTCTGTCAGGGCGGCAGCCATTGTACTAGCTAGACTATACTACAATCAACGAAAAAGACGGGGAGTGGTTGGTGTTGATACAGCAGTGATGCAAGACACAGGACGGGAGAGAGGACTGGACAGACAGTGGCAACAGCAAGACACTAAGCTTCGTCGTGGACAGATCGAGATGAATGAATGAGGTGGGTCGTCAAAAGGCGAATGCTGCGTGTGATGTGTGGCTGTGGCTTTGACAATTATCTTTTACCCCATCAACAAAGCAGGAGAAGTCTATTTCTAAGAGGTTGGGTAATCGTTTCAGTCACTACCAGCTTCACTGGCTCACCAACAGACCATCAATTCAAAGTTCAAAGTTTCCGTTTTCACGAGCGTCTCATCCCAACGCCTTGTAATTCGACTGTGTGTGTCTGTCCGGGATCACCAGCATGAAACCGCTCTCCACGAGTGAACCCGAATGAAGACGACCAGCAACAACATACAAACTGCTAACTCGAGCTAACTCGTAACATACAAAGTCTTGCCAGGCCGTGGACGCACTTGTGTTGCTTGGGCAACGCAAAATAAAACGCAAGAGACAGAAGAAAGAGAGAAGGGTCCCACAAAAAGCATACTAAACTTACTTATATCGGGAAAACCATGGAAGAAGCTTCAACGACCACAACAACAACAGCCAAGAAGACTGTCATTTTTGCCACCCCAGAGTCAGAATCGTTTTGGTTTGATGGTGTGACGGAAGAAGAACGAGACGATGTGTGGTTTCGACGCACCGACTATGTCGAATTCGTCGAGGCGGAATTGCGACGACGAGAATTGCTCACGGAAATTGAGGAGGGCAACAACAAGAAGCATGCTCGTCGCTCCAGTGATACAAGCAAGGGCGAATCCGAAATGAAACACACCTTTACGCGACGCATGGTGTCGAGAACATTCTCCGCTGGACCCACTGTACGACGAAGGCGGCGCTTGCCGCGACGAGAAAGGAACGAACTCGACATTTCCAATCATTCCTCCTCTCATGTGAAAAAGCGACAACTAGCACGGACGCCCAGGAATGCTGCCTCTGATGATACGAATGAACAAGAACCAGTCAACGCGACAACCGTCAAGGCCATGGCAGCCAGTGTGGGAAAAATCAGAAGTTCCATTTCGGGGGATGCTGTTCCTGTGGCGGAAAAAGAGCAGTTGGAGAGCGCCGCTGCGAAACCGACGCAATCCACCGCCGCAAGCAACAGTCCAGTTGCAGCAATCCTTGACAGGGATCTAACACCACCACCGCTAGAAATTATTGAACCGGCGCCGGCGATTGGGACAACCAGCCCTCCCAAGGCATTGACGGTGTAGTGCACCGTGAAGCGACTATTTGTCTTCTGCTAAAGTGACTAAATTATGGAGTATTCGGGATGAAAACAATCTGCATTTTGCGTTGCTTTCGTGGACCGACTGAATTGAATGTCAACCTGTGGGGATCCTGTCTTGCTTTCGATCAACTCTAGACTGTACGAAAAACCTTTACCGCAATGTACGAAAAGAAATGAACCGCACCGTACTTGTACTGCCAATGCATGGCTTGACTACTACAAGAATGCTAACTTAGAAGACTGTTTATAAAAAGCTCCGTTCCTGGTTTTTTATTGCCGTTGATTCAATCGGATGTGCTTTATTTGACCATTGGGCTTGGATTGGTTTCCAGGAATATTCATAGCCGCACAAATTCAATTATATGAGATCAACTCTGGTTTCCAAGCACACTGAACAATTGCCAGACTTCTCAGGTTGTTGGTGTGATCTCCGCCTCTGCTTGCTAGTAAACCTTGACTTAACCTTCTGGGACCTGTATTGTGTTTGTGACAATTCTGCTTACTTTGTCCCTGCTTGGGGAAGACTGCCGTCATTTCACCCACGATACCGGTAGCGGTGTCTAGAGCTGGAAGCCGATTTCAGCAAGTCTTAATGGTTTCAACAGCACTCACGAGCGACTGTGTCAATCTTCAACTTGAGCGTCTGTGGACTCTCCTATCCGAAGCTTGCAGTCTCCCTTGTGTTCTGGACATTTGCCTTTCTTGCATTGTTTACAGCAATACATGGCATTTTTTAGGCAGGAAGTGTTGGTCGCAGTGAAGGCGTCATGTCCAAAGCGGTAGGGCTACAGTTGTAATGCTTTGTGAAGTTTCTTCAAGCAATTGCATGGAAAAGGGGCTCAAATTGTCGTTTTGATTGCAGCTTTAGTCCAAACCCTGGCGGTGTAAAAGTGGTCGTACCCAATAGGAAGCAATTTGTGGCTTGACTCTCAGGTCCTCATATATTCCGGTTGAGGAAGACTTGGAAGCTCTTTTCCTCTTGAATGCTACCCGTAAGGCACACTTCTAAACATGATGGGACTGGCAATGCAGTCTCTAACACCATCGAGTGCTGTAAAGTACGCGAACAACTCTTGAAACCTGTTTGAAATGATCGGATTACCATGCGAGCAGCCGTCAAAGAGAAACTCGGTGGAGAGGGCTGGCTGGAGAGCTAGTCTGCGGCATTGTTGTTGGAGGGAGCGTCTCCTCTGCCTCAGGCTCCTGTTCCTTGGGATGCTTGCCTTCCTTCCGCACTTCCATTTTCTTGCTGTTTTGGTGACTCGACTCTTCATTCTGCCAACTCTCAACCACAAAAGAGCTTTGCCTCCCAAAAACAATGCCAATGCTGTGATGTTTCGTCATCAGAAGAGGAAATGGGTTTAGATTTCCAAAAATACAGCTCTGTTGCCTCACTTTTTGACCACCAACGTGTTGCCTCACTTTTTGACCGCCAACACGTCATTCACCTCGAAGCTCAAACATAGCCAGGCTTCTTCAATCTGATCATACCGGTACTAGTATGGTCCAGCCTCTTCAAAAAGGGGGGGCGAAGAGTTGGTAGATTATCTACGAAAGCCAGCGAGAGTCAGGCTTAAAAGCAAAGAAGAGTCGAAATCAACTAGATTGCTATAGTCTTTGATCTGATCATGAGACAAAACGTCCGTGCGTTGTCTTGGATCCTTCATCTTCTTCTCCTGGGAAGTTCCGACTCCTTCACGACGCTTCAATCGAGGAAAACTACCCTCCATGGCACCACCAGACGATTGCCCATGGCATCCGATAATGAGGAAGTGACGGTGATTGCTGGACCAAGTCTGCCAGAAATACCCCCCATGTCCAAACGACTCTTTTTGGTTCGACACGGAGAGGTCATCAACCCTGGAGGTGACAGACCGGTGTTCTACGGGGCCCTCGATGTTTCCCTTAGCCCTTTGGGAGAACAAGAGGCAACAGCAGCTGGGCAGTACCTTTCACAGTTTGACTTGGAGCATGTGTTTGCCAGCCCTCTTTCGAGAGCCATCTTTGGTGCCGAGGAAGTGAAGCGACTGCAAAAACGAGCAGATGCGCTGACCATTACAATCAACGACAATTTTAAAGAATTGGATCGTGGAGCCTGGTGTGGTAAGACAAAGGCGGAAATTGGACCAAAAGAGATGGACCGATTTGATGCCTGTGATGAATCTGTAACACCCGAAGGGGGAGAATCGTTTCCCTTTCTCAAAGCACGAGTATTGAAGGCGCGGGATGAAGCATTGGACAAGATCAGTGCTGGCAAAGCCGCAGCCGTCGTGTCGCACTTGCAAGTGACAAGATCCATGCTCAGCGAAGCCAATGGTCTTCCGACCAGCGCAATGGCCAAGCTCAAGATTGCCACGGCTTCAGTGACATGTATTGATTATGACATGGTGACAGGAACCCAAACTGTGCACTTTGAGAGCTTCAAGCCTTAAGTAGGATTGCAATCCAGCAAAGACAGAGCTAACTAGAATAGAAAGGACAGGTAGAGGATGGTAAAAACACACAAAAGAAAGCAAGGGATGTCTAGTCATTTATGTCTATCTATTCAAACGACACTCTTGCCCGACAAAAAGGCAATGCACCTGCAAATCACGAAACTCAGTAACCCGCTGCATGCAAACATTCCATAAAGACATTCACATTCACTGAACCATCGTCTGAACTCTGCTTGGCCATTTCTGCTACCATGAGAAGCTGCTTGATACCAATAGGTTTCTTGATCTGTCTGGCGATTGCCTTGGCATCTTCCTTGCTCATGTGAGCCGCAGATCGCAACACTTCGTAAAAGTCCTTGCCTTCAGCAATGAGAGGAACCGTTTGCGCCACGGAGAAAGCTTGAACCAGGCCAAGATCCTCCAGTAGGTGGCCGGCGCTGGTGGTACCAATAATGAGGAGCTTTCTTCCTTCGTCTGCAGGGATCTTCTTCAACAGAATCATCAACGTTTGAAGCACAGCATTACTGAAGCGAGGACCGATCGGAACGTATTCAATGAGTCGCTCAATGTCGTCCAGGAAGATCAGGCTGAGCGGTGATCGGTAGGAATCCATAAAGACTTTGTGGATCTGAGTACTCTTGGAGACGTCTGAATACCCAATCATTTCGTCGGCGCTGATCATTCGAACAAAGGGGAACCCAGATTCGACGGCTAGTTTGGCAGCAATGGCAGTCTTTCCGGAGCTGGCGGAACCTCTGTTGTGTGAAAAAGAGACAAGAAAGAGTGAGCAAACGGGGAAGCCAACATGGAAATCAGTTGAATAACATCCAAGGCGCACGTACTGTAGCAAAATGGACATGAGAGGTGTCTTGTCGGACGATCGAACTTGTTCGACCAATCTCTCCAACGTTGACATAAGATTATCGAATGTATCACCATAGGGGACAAATCCATTGCGATAGTAGGCTTTGAGTTCTTGACTCTTGGCTCCGAACTTGGGTTCAATATCATTCAGGGCCCGCTCAAAGTCTTCATATTGCAGGACCAGATTCTTGATATCGGGAGCCTTTTTCAAGTCTTTCAAGTCGACACATCGTGTCAAAGCATATGACGATGCTGCCTTGACCAAACCCTCAATCTCGGCACCCGAAAAGTTCTTGGACTTCTCGGCAATTTCGGGAAGCCTCTGCAAGACCTCGGGAGTGATACGTTTGGCTTGTTGCATGCTTCGGGTGTGGATGTTAAGAATTTGCAGGCGTCCCTTGGCATCGGGGAGACCAATTTCTACGTGCACCTCCAACCGACCAGGCCGCAGCAAGGCGTCATCAATCATGTCCTTCCTGTTTGTCATTCCAATCAGAAGAATGTTGTTCAACGAGTCCACACCCTAAAACAGGAATAAACCAGGAATCTCGAGTCAGCCATTGTTTTTTGAGACGACGGAACTTTCAGGCAAGCAAAGAGTGCATCACACTTACATCAATTTTGGACAAGAGCTGATTGACCACACTATCGGACACGCCGGTTCCGTCCTTGACTGACCCACGTTGCTTACAAATGGCATCCATCTCATCCAGAATGATAATGTGAAGCATACTGTTGTCACCGGCCTCTGCTTGTTCCTTTTCGGCATCCGCAAACAATTCTCGAATTTTCTCCTCGGATCCTCCTACAAATTTGTTGAGAATCTCAGGACCATTTACAATCTTGGGTTCTCGGGCATTGAGCGCCTTTCCAATCTGACGAGCAATCAAGGTTTTCCCACAACCGGGAGCGCCACTGTCATAAGAATGCGGTAGTGCAAGTTCTGTCGTGAGCATTCGATCTTTTCGGCACGATCAATTATCACAATCCCAAAAATGCTCCGATTGAACTACGGTACACTTACTATAACAGCATTCCACGGACATGAGTAATTCCCATTTCCTTGATGATTTTGCTGGGCCAAATGCGACTGGCAAAGGCTCGACGGAAGATCTGGTTGAATTCCTGGTCCAATCCTCCAATTCCCAATTTTTCGAAATCAAAGTCACTGACAAAGATATTGTTGGCTTGTCCACTGGATCCTCCTTCCGCGACACGATCCCCTTCGAGCGTAATACTATTACAACCCTCCGCACGAGTAAATGTAATGTCTGTGGGTTGTAGCAATTGTCCCTCCTGAGGAGACGCATCGGGTGGTGCAGATTTGTCTTTGCTCTTCTTTTTCTTCAATTCCATGACTCCCGCACTCTTGACTGACAATTCCACTTTGGTCCCCTCAAAGTCCAACGCCATGATCTGGCCAACGGCCAATACTTGTCCTTCTAAAATCATCAAGACAGTACTGGCCAGTCGATCCGTGTCAATTTCCTTTTGATGTTTTTTCCCACCACCTGAAGGTCCTTTGGGTTTGACCAACAAATCCACGGCAAAGACAACGGCCGCCAATGCGGGTGGTGGATAGGGTTGATACGGAGTCAGCGTGATTGGATGAGCCAGACTCAGCATGGCCGTTCGACGTTGCAAGCCATTCAGGGCGACTTGAGAATTCTCTACTTGGGCATGACCTTCAATGGCATAAGGCCTGTCCCCCAAACGAACCAAATACGACTTGCTGCCCTGATCAATCGGAGGAACCTTGTGCTGCGCGTAAAAATTGGCCACTTGCTCGTAGTTGTGTTGAGACACATAGATCCTGTTAGTCAGAGCCAATCGGTTCGATGGGAGATTGCCAACTTGCAGCTTTAACTTGAACATGTTGGTAGTGCTGTCTTGGTGGCGGTGCCTTGATGATAGAAGAGACGATGGTTGATGTGGTTCGTAGAGACGAGGGTCTTTCGGTTACATGTGTGAGATCGGCTTGTTGTGAGTTGTGATCGAACAGATCGATGCTGTTCGAACGAAAATCTTTCTTCAGTGCCAGTCCCACTGGACACAGGACAAAAGATCGATGACCGTTGCGCAACACAATCATTAGGTGGTGTCTCGCGTTATCCCATGCACCTCAATTCGGCTGACCACGATCGACTGTCGATTCGATTCGATTCGATTCGATTCGATTCGATTCGCCTCTATCTTCCGGTACCACGGACTCACACTAGTAGTCTGGGTCACTCGGCTCAACTGTCTCTCATGCAGTTGGCTCGCAGGCACCAGTTGCCGAGGTTCGTGGCAACGAGCGACAGACTCGTAGATACGGTAGTTGCCGAGTTGCCGAGGTTCGTGGCAATGAGGGACTCACTCGTCGTAATGATCATCTCGTCGAAACGAGTTCACAACGTTCGATGAACGGCACTGAAAGATCTGCGTCTCCTCTCACTGTGAAAAGTCGGCTTGTGCATGGAAATGAGGCCACCTGCTACTTCTTGTCAAAATGGTTGTCCCTGGGATTATTTGGCTGCTATCAGAGGCCATTTGGACATGTTGAAGCGGGATCGTGAAAGTGGTTGTCCATAGCAGATAGAAAGAGACACGTCGCACAACTACCAGATACGGATATCTGAAGTGGACCCATGAAAATGCTGTCCATGGCAGGGACGGAAACAGCCACACGTGTCACACACAGCCAGAAAGGGCCATTTGGAATGCCTCAGATCCACTCATGAAAATGGCTGTCGAACGGACATTTCAAGCTGCCAGATGCAACCTAAGTGAAGTGATGCAATTGCTGCACTGGCTCTATCATTGTATGCTGAATGAAACTTATGTGCTTTAGGTGTCCGTGTGATTCAATCAAAAGTAGACAATGCCCAACGTTTCCCTCCCAGTTAGTACCGGTACATTAGTCTACCATTTCCATGTCATCATCGTAACGCCACGGTCACAGACTGGCAGAACTTCTAAGCACCACTTGCATTGAAACTGCTTCTTTGGGTGTCGAAGAAAATTCCACCTTGTGGTGTTGTGTTCCAAACGTAGTTCTGTATATAGTCTTTCGAAGCAGGAAAGAGAGAAAGAATTGTTACTCTAGCTAAGCCACAAGCATCGACGACTGGAGCAGAGAACCCTGACCAAGGGTCATTCAAGCCTACCTTGATAGTTTGCTGCCTGCATGAAATCAAATGCATCCAAAGTTGAAGGCAGAGTAATCCTGTCTTCGGATCTGAACTTTGCCGTCACGTCGGCATCTATTTGATATGGCAAATCAGCAGTCTCTTCAAAGCGGAAACCAACGAACTCATCTTCAATTGAGGCATACGAGGGAAATTCTTCATCGGCACCACTCAATAGTTCGGTATAAAATAGGCTCGTTTGGTCCATCAAGCTGCCAATTTCCGGCCCTGTTGGGGGTCGAATGGTTGCACCATCAAACAACCCAAACTCAAGGGTTCCTTCGACCACCACCTCATGGAGACAAGAGCATTCAGCGCAGGTGCAATTGACATTACAATCCACACGAATGGAGATGGGGGCTATGCTACACATCAACTGTGGTAAGGTACCAGAGAGTGCATTGTTGAGTAGATTCAAATTTTCCATGGATACCATGCCAATCCAAGGTGAGGGTATAGTCCCTTCCAAACGTGGGTTGCTGTGAAGGTTCAACCGGGTCAGCAATTCCAAACGGCCAAGCTGGGACGGCAATCTTCCAGATAAATTATTTCGCTCCAACGAAAGTTCCTCAAGGTGACTCAACAGTCCGAGCTCCGATGCTTCCAAGGCTCAAAAGGCGCAAGGAGGTCATCAGACCCAATTCTGATAGAATGCTCCCAGATAGATTGTTTCTTTCCAAGTTGAGTTCCTCAAGGGAAGTCATACCCTGCAGCGTTGCCGGCAAGGTGCCTTGGAAATTGTTTTCTCCCAACATCAGATCGGTCAGGTTCAGCAGTGAAGCCACCTCCGAAGGAATGGTTCCCGAAATATGGTTCCAACTCAAATCCAGCGTTGCAAGTGAGACAAAAATTCCGATTTCTGTGGGGAGAGGACCGGAAAGTCCGCCAGGTGACACAGTCAAAGTTGATAATGACTCTAACAGTGAGATCTCTGGGGGGAGGCTACCAGCAAGTCTGCCCAACTTCAGGGCACTCACTCTGCCAGATCCATCACACTGGTTCTCGCCATTCCAAAAGCACTCAGAAACATCATTTCGCAACCAAAAACTCTGTTGGTTTCCCCACACGTCACCAGATGTGCTATAGTAGATTGTCGCTAACGCAAACAGCTGTCGCCTTTGCCATGGGGGAAGAGTTGAAAATTGTGGATGTAGCAGAAGCCAATCCATGGCCTTTGTTTGGGGGGTGGTTCTGTTGGTATCTAGCGCAATGGTTCTTTGCGTGTAATCCGGAAGAAAGAAGCTGACCTCAGTCGGACTTTGACTTGGTGAACTAGAGGGATGGGATGATGGGGATATGGACGGTGACACACTGCAATACACGGCTCTTAGCCTTATTCGCGACTCGATCCTAGATAGGGTTTGAGTTCGACTCATGACGTAGTCCTTCGCGAATAGTCATTGAGACAGGGTTCTCATGACTGCTAGTCATACTAGGTTGTCGATGAAACATCGCTCTAGATATTTAGCCGGCGTGGAAAGCTTCCACGCTACTAGACAGCTACTAGCTGAAGTTTCCACGTGTTCCGGAAATGGACCGTGGAGTACGTAGAGTTATTGCCATAACCTACGATATCACACTTCGAGGCCTCCCGCGGGAGACCAACTTCAATGAGCTTCACAACGATCTCTCTCATGGATTAGTTTTCGTAGCTTTCTAATCTCTCTCATAACTTTCATTCTCTCAAACTCAAAACACTCGAAAGATCTTTACACTAGCTTTTAGCGTAGTGCATTTTGTTAACAAACACAATAGCTTTCAGCTACCCTCAACCTATTCCTTCACCATGAAGATTGCTCAAGGAAAGCATGCGTTCACCAACTTCGAGAAACAGTTGCGTGACAAACCCATTCTTCCTCTCGTGGACAACGATGAAGAAGCCGAGATCGACGATACTCGTGCAACCACCTACAAACTTCGCACCGTTCCTGCAGATGCAAACAGTGCCAAATATACCTTCAAGGTAGCCATTATCAATGGTTCCAACACTCCGCGTCAGACCATCAAGTGGGCTACGAATATGGAGAAGGTCTTCGTTGGACTCAACCTGGCCAATGCCGACGACAAACATCGCCTTCTCAAGGAGATGACTTCCAGCTCTGCGAAGAGTGCCTACGAAGCTGGGTGTGCAGGCCATTGTGCCGTGCGTCACCACAACCTACGACAAATTGCTGTAAACGCAGTTGCTCCACGCGACGTGGGTTCTGGAGAAACCGAAGTCCAATTCCAAGCTCGTGTTCAAGCCGCATGGGACGGTGCAGCGGAGCCCGCTCTAAGCGATGAGGACATCACCGTTGGAATCAACGCGGTTATCGAAGCAGCCTGTCCTTACAAGGCTCTCGAAAAACAGAAACGCTTCATGCGTCGCAAGATGCGTAAGCCTAGCGAGATGACAACTCGCGCCTACATCAACAACCTCACTCGGATGAACACCGATGAGCTTCCACGTTTGCCACCTTTCGGTGTCAATCAACAGTTGAACCAGGACGAGTTCATCGACATCATCTGTCATGGCATTCCTCGCTCCTGGATGCGCAAGATGGACGAACACGACTTCGATCCTTTCACTGCCGAGATGGCAGCGCTCATTGGATTCTGTGAGCGCATGGAATCCGCCGAAGACTTTGACAAAGGCAGTGATGCCAAGCAAGTTCCTTCGAAGAAGAACAACAGCAAGAAGTACAAGTCTACTCGCAACAACTCCAAGAGCGAAGAGAAGTGGTGTGATTACCACGGGTCCAGCACTCACAATACTGCTGATTGCATGACTCTGAAGAAGCTCAAAGCCAAGTCCTCGTCCGACAACGATAGCAGGCCAGCGTACAACAAGAACAAGACTTGGAAACGCAAGTCTGATGACGCCAAGTCCTACACCAAAAAGGAACTTTCGGTCCTTATGAAGAAAGTCTCCAACGCTGCGGTCAAGGCGGATCGCAAG